CTAATAATGAGATGGAGAATGAAACGCATATGTTACATGGGCGATATACAGAAGATGTACCGTCAAATATTGGTGTTCCCCGAAGATGCTGCTACTGACCAACGAATTCTTTGGCGCTCAGACGCATCCGAAGATATCAAAGAGTACAGAATTCTTCGAGTGACTTTCGGTACCGCATCTGCTCCCTACCTTGCGGTTCGAACTCTTCATCAAATCGCTAATGATGAAGGCAAGAATCATCCCAAAGCAGCTCAAATAATTAAAGAAGAGTTCTATATGGACGATTTGATGAGCGGAGCTGATACTGTGGAAGAAGCTGTAACTGAAGCCATTGAAGTTGATGAAATTGTAAAGAAGGGAGGTTTCATTCTTACTAAATGGGCTTCAAATAATCTGGACTTCATGCAGTCTATCAAACCAGAAGATCGATCCAGCAGTGCACATTTTAACCTTAACATTGATGGAACCGTAAAAGCCCTGGGTATTAAATGGAATATGGGTACAGATAAATTTAAATATGAAGCTCTCTTACCACCCATTGAAGCAACTGTCACCAAGAGAAGTGTTTTGTCCGACATACAGAAGCTTTTTGATCCACTTGGTTGGATAGCCCCAAGCATGGTCATGACGAAAATTTTTATCCAAAAGTTGTAGCTAGAAAAGTTGAACTGGGACGACAAGATCAGTTCACATTTGCTGGACGAATGGATTTCTATCCGATCAGACTTCCAACAAGTCAAGAGATTGAAGTCGATAGATGGATTGGCACAACGAGTAAAGCAAGCGACAACTTACAAATTCATGGCTTTTGCGATGCGTCAATGCAAGCATACGCAGCGCTTGTGTATGCTAGGATCAAAGCCGAAGACGGAACAATCAAAACAAAATTGATCGCTGCCAGAACTAGAGTTGCGCCGTTACGTACAATCTCGCTATCTAGACTGGAATTATGCGATGCTTTGCTACTATCTCGTCTACTCAAGCAAGTTGCACAGGCAATGAGAATACTACCATAACAAATATTTGCCTGGACAGACTCATCAATTGTTCTTGCTTGGCTCGCAGGAGATCCTCACAAATGGAAACTGTTTGTAGCGAATCGCGTGGTCGAAATAGTGGAGAATGTACACTGCAATAGATGGCATCATGTGATTTCAAAGAACAATCCAGCGGACATAGCCTCAAGAGGCATGCTACTGTCCGAGTTGAAGTCATGTAAGCTCTGGTGGGCAGGACCAACATGGTTACTAGAAAAGGAAATCCAATTTTCCGACAACCAAACGAAAGAAACTGATTTAGAAATGAAAAGAACAAAACTATAAGTAAATGTTAACATTACAGAAGCAGAAGAAAAAACAAAACAAAATAAATTAGTAAAACAGTTAGAAAACTTTAAGAAACTACAGGAAATGCAGAAGGTAATCACATATTATCGAAGATTTTTAAATTACAGGAAAAATACAAACAATATTCCAGAACCACTAAATACAGAAGACCTGGACAGGTCATTGAAAGCATGCATAAGACTGGTTTAACACGAAGAATTTGCGGATGAGATTCAAAGATTAAAAGACAACAAGCCTGTAAAAACTAACAGTTACTTGAAGAGTCTGAATCCCTTTTTAGACGAAGTGGATATTCTCAGGGTGGGCGGTCGCCTTCGTCACTCTGAGCTAGAAGAAAAACATCCGATAATACTGGGCACAAAGAACAAATTAACGCCTTTAATTATCGCCGATGCTCACTCCCATACGATGCACGGTGGTGTCCAATTGACATTATGTTATCTTCGTTCTAAATATTGGATCCTGAAAGTAAAAGGCTTGGTTAAGAGTCATATATACAAATGTTTGACCTGTGCCAAACAAGCAGCTACAGTTAGAACACAGGTGATGGGTGACTTACCTAAGGAAAGAGTGACACCAGCTCGAGAATTTCTAAATAGTGGAGTCGACTTTTGTGGACCTTTTCAAATTTTGAATAATAAAGGCAGAGGAGCCAAAACAAGAAAGGCATATATTGCTCTTTTTATATGCATGTCAACCAAGGCCATCCACCTTGAATTGGTTGGGGACTTGACATCCGAAGCCTTTGTCGGTGCGTTTAGAAGATTCGTGGCGAGGAGAGGCAAATGTGCTCATATGTGGAGCGACCAAGGTCGTAATTTCATCGGTGCTGATAGAGAGCTACAAGCAGCTTGGAAAGAAGCTGATTTGGCCTTTGAAGGGAACATAGCTGAGACCTTGGCGTTAGACGGCACGCAGTGGCATTGTATCCCGCCTTACAGCCCAAATTTCGGAGGGCTATGGGAAGCTGGCGTTAGATCCGTAAAGTACCATTTGAAGCGTGTCCTATCTGCAAACCTTACCTTTGAGGAAATGACCACCATTTTGTGCCAAATCGAGGCTTGCCTGAATTCACGACCGTTGGTTCCAATAGACACAGATGATCCTGAAGTGATTGAACCATTAACACCTGGGCACTTTTTAATTGGTCAAGCTCCGATTATAGTCCCTTCAGTCGATCTGAAAGACACTCGAATTTCAAACTTAACACGATGGCAGCACCTTCAAAAACTTCTGGGAGATTTCTGTAGACGTTGGCAGACGGAATACCTGACAAGACTACAATAACGGCTGAAGTGGCAGAGACAACAGCGCGAGTTTGAACTGGGAGATATAGTTTTAGTTAAGAGTGAAGGTCTGCCACCTGGTAAATGGTGTCTGGGACGTATCGTGGATAAACATCCAGGAAGTGATGGTCACACCAGAGTGTATAGTGTTAAAAGTGGTTGTAATATTGTGAAACGTAGTGTTACAAAATTATGTGCTTTGCCAATAGACACTAAATCTTAATACTAATTTTAAAGCATTCTTGTGAGCGTAACAGTTTGTTAATTTTGATTCTGTTTGTTACAATATTTTAATTATGTAGATTGGTTGTTAATTATAACATTGTTTAGCTTGTATCACTTAGTTAATTTGAATTATTTAGAAAGAACTAAATGTTCTTTGGTGGGCGGCATGTTCGTTCTCTTACAATATATGTACGCAAACTTGTAATTTATAGACAGTCGCAATTAAAGAATCGAAGAGTAAAGACACTGTGGTTATCATTTACACGTTATACAAATAAAAGTGCACCTTAACTACCTCAACAAGGTGTTTATTAAAAAAAAATGATAATTTTAGTTGTATCAAAAATGATACATTATGCAGTTAGTAGGTCCCGTTTGTACATTTTCGCTATTATAGTTTATGTGATTGTAATATGTTTTTCATCACTTTCGGAGCATGGAAAGAAGAAAATAAAAGATAATGAAAATGAAGACCTTTTAGCAAGATTGGAAGGTGGACCTTCTATCGGAGGACGAAGCAGAGTCTGATGATGATGAATTAGATTATCACCCAAATATTGAGGAAGTTCGTGCTGCTTTAGAAAATCACGAGGAAGAACAAATGTGTTCCGGTGATTCCCGTAACCATCAAATCCAGGACTAAGATGATCTACCACTTGTAAATGATGAAAATTATATGCGAAATGATGATGATCCTCCCCTAGGGAATGAAGGTAGTGGTTATGCATAAAATATTCCCAACAGGCGGCATATTACGATTCAAACTGCTAGACTCACATGGAGGAAACGTTCCTTAGAATTTTGGGAAGATGCATTCGTTTTCAGAACAAGACGGAGTGTTCTCCCAAAGTTGTAGCCCTAGAAACTCCATATCAATTTTTCAGTTATTTTTTTACTGCTGATTTTTTAGATAAGATTGTATAATAATCTACTCATTCCAAAAAAAACTCCGACCGACCAGATCCAATCACAATATCAGAGTTACAAAAGTACTTGGGAATTAATATCTTTATGTCGATTTTTGATTATCCGAATATAGGAGTTTACTGGGGTAAAAAATACGGAATCATGCCAATTATACAGGGTATGACATTAAGTAGATTTGAATAAATTCGAAATATATAACATTTTTATGACAACTCCACACGTCTGCCTATAAACAACCCCAATCACGATAAACTATACGAGCTGCGACCTGTGGTAGAACATCTGAATGAGAGTTTCCAGTATTCCTATAGATCAAAGGCTTTCCATAAAACATGAACCCATAAAAATGCGTGTAACGAAAATGGGTCACTACCTAAAACAAAACCTCCCAAATAAACCTCACAAATGGGGGTTCAAACATTATATGCTACGTTTTCTTGAAGTGTATGTAGGTGGGCATACAATATTGAACCTATGATGGAAAACAAACCTGATCTGGGAGTGGTTGGGAACACTGTTGTAAAATTGTTGAGGGTTGTTCCACGCAAAGTAAACCACATTGTTTATTTTGACAATTACCACACCTCTTTACCTCATATGTATTACTTAGCTAAGGAAAGGATATTACGTCTGGGAACTATTCAACAAAATCGGTTAGGTAAGAAAGATACTTAAGTTACCATACAAAAAAATGACGTTGATGCATAATGTATCAAAAATGATACAAACTTTTTTTTATTAAAATAACTTTAAAAAATAAAAATATTTTTTTTCTTTATTTTTCCCCTATTTAAGAGCTAAACATCTAAATCATGATTAAATGAGTTAAAACAAAATGTTCATGCACTTAAGGGATAAACCTCAAGTTATTTTGATCGCTTGGGCGCCTTATGAACTTGAGTGGCTGTCGTCATCAACAGTCCGCTGAGTTGAGCTGTCGTTAAAATCTCCGAAAAACTTCGCAATGTGACGCATCAGCATATTGTGAAGAAAAAGTATATAAAATAAAGATTCTGAAAGAAATGATATGCTCAGAAGGGCTTGAACCCAGAACCGTAAAGTTTGATCTGAATTTTGTTGAAAATTTTTTAGTTGAAAATTTGAAAATCTATGGTCTGTTTTTAAAATTTGTGACATATTAGTGAAGATTCAAATGTAAATTGGATTAATATTTAAGAAATAAATATTTGTTAAAATGAAGCTTATAACTCATAATATGCTTACCTCAAAGTGTTTAAAAGGAGTCGTTACTGGATATCCACTAGCTATTAATGCAACAGATGTGAAAATATCTGAAGTTGACTTTAACCCAGAATTTATCTCTCGCGTTATTCCCAAATTAGATTGGGAGGTTTTGTGGAAGGCTGCAGAAAGTATCGGACATAGTGAAGGACTGCCGCAAACAATAGAGCCTAAGTTTGAAGATAACGAGGAGTTTTTACGAAAAGCTCACAAAGTGTTGTTAGAAGTTGAAGTAGAAGAAGGTTATCTCACATGTCCCGAGTCTGGAAGACAATTTCCAATTTCAAAAGGCATTCCTAATATGTTATTAACAGAAGCTGAAGTACAATAAACAATATTTTAGTTTTTTTACTTTTGCAGTCTTGTAATTTGATGCCTTGTGATCTGGGACTATGGCTAAAATTTATATAAATATTGAAGATGTGTGTGGTAGCAATTTAGCTACACAGCTTGTCTATTTATCTATTCTGTACCACCTTGTTGTACCATGCAATATCTATTGAATAATAAAATTATCAATAGGTTGAAAATTATGAATTGTGTGTTGATTAATAGGTTAATAATCCATTTTAGTAAATGACTGCCTATATGTTTTCTGTGGTCTCCGATAGAATACAGTATAACCTACTATATTTATAATATATTAACTATAAAACATACCGGCAGCTATGGTGATCATAGCAAATCTCTGCTCTGTGAAAAGTCAAATTCTGCTGAAAGAAGCAGTCTGTGTCTGGCAGTGGACTCTTACAGGCAGATAAAGAAGGTTCAGTAACTGTACATGATATTGCTTTGTGAACCTCTGATTAGAATTTAGATTTGCATTACAATAATGTCTGATTGAATGAAGTAACAAAGAAATAGTGATAGGGTATATTATTTGTCAGTAATACTGTGCATTATCAGTCACAATAAATAAAAAATATAAATACAAGAGGTTCAAGCCAAAAGCTTAACCTTTTCATTGACCAGTGGCAAAATCTTATCCATGACTACCTTAAAAATTAAGAAAAGTCTTACAAAATTACTAGAATGGTATATTTATTGTGACCTTTGTTGGCATTTCTTCATCTTCATTCTTGATTAATTTGATTTTCGATATTTTCATTGATACTATTTTGTAAAACTGTAGTATTTAACTACTTATATGAAAACAAGATATTTATCATCACTTTGTTACTGTGCATTTAAAGAAAATAGATCAAAGCAAGTGCTATTGTGGTTGTTAGATTTGATAAATTTTGTTGAATTTGCCAGTGCCACATGACAAAGTAAAAAATTTGTTAGACAATAACAAGCTACACTATTTAAGCTTATATGGAAGCAAGATATAAGCTTAAATAGTCATCATCATCATTACAGCCCTTCACAAGTCCACTGCTGAACATAGGCCTCCCCCAAGTAATGCCACAATTCACGGTCCTGAGCCACCTGCATCCATCGACTTCCTGTATATCTTACCAGGTTGTCACTCCATCTAGTGGGGGGGGACCACGGCGCCCAATGAACTGATAATCGATGACGCGCTAAGGATGCGCCAGAGTTGAGATATTAGATTTATTATGCGAAGTTAATTTGATGAAATTTTCTTTTATTTATGTAGATGATATTTTTACGTTTCTTACCTTTTGTTTTATTCAAATATTAATAATAGTTTTAAAAATAACATGTTTGCATTTAATTTTGAATAGTTTTGAAGGGTTTTTTGTCAACTATAGACGTCGTTGGCGCTCAGAGCTCGCAGGTGCTGGTCAAGTATAGGCAACTTTGGCGCTCAAAAGGTTAAATGTTGCCAGGTCGAGTCATCGTAGGTGGCAACCGAACCTCCACAGGAGATTCTTAGCACCCCCTGCCCCGCCGTTACCATGGTAGCCACCGTAGCCAGGAATAGCGGGGCCGCCGGGGACTGGGGGCCGTCTATTTGTGTAATTCTTCATGGGGGGTATATTGCCATAGTTGCCACGCTTGGCAAGCGGGTTGGCAACCGGTTTTTTTTTGTTTTACAGTTGCTGTTATCAGGCAGATGCTGCTGCCCACATCCTGCCTGTTTTCCTCTGTCGCCTTTTACGACACCCACGGGAAGATAAGGGGTAGTGGATATTCTTAACCGCCACTACACGGCAGCTTAAATAGTATAGCTTATTATTGTCCTCTCTTGCCGCTATCCTTTATATATGCCACTGTAGACTGTCATCATAATTGCATGGGACCTATGTTTATTGCATTTTAGTTTCTGATTAAGGTCTGAAAAATGTGTGAAGAAAACCATTCCTTTATTACAAAAAAATTATTTTATTCTTTGCATAGTAGAGTCATGCTGCATCTATATTAGTGATACAGTTGTAGTACAAATGAGTGGGCTCGACTGAGAAAATACCACACTCACAGAATACCAGTGTAAAATAGTAGCTTAATACTGCTGGGTTTTATTTTGAACTGGAGACCCTTTTTACTTGAAATGAGGCATTGTATTTTAGTCCGTATGGGTGATAAACTGCATTTTGATTCTTAATCGAGGATTGATGCAGATGTCTATGGGCTGTAGCAACCACTTACCATTAGGTGGACCGTGTGCTCATTTTTAACCCTTATCCTATATAAAAAAAAACACTATTGTATCTTGATAATAATGTATGAATGTTGCACTTTCTGCTAACCTCTCATCTGGAAGACTATCAGGTCTTTGTACGCCCTTCTGACCACTGTCTTATCCAGAGTAAGGTGTCACTCATGTACCCGTTGCAAGTGTGCTTGGTGAGCTACTATGGTATTTACTTTACTCGTTCCTTGTTGCTTCATGACAGTGGTGGACATAAATTGGTCAAAAATTCTCCAGGCTGTGTTGTAACTGCTGCTGGAGGCCGACGACGTGGACAGATCGGTTTCGGATGTTGGATGCCAATTCCGTGCAATCAGGTCTTGGACGTGATTTTGTACATGACGTTTTTGTATTTTTTATATATATATTTATTATATATACATGCTTCCAGCCCAAATGGTCTTTCACGGCATTGGTAACATTGGAGGTGTTATCCAAAACCGCAAAGTTGACTTTGCGGGTTAAATCCCAGTCATCTAATATACGCTGTAATTCAGCAGCTATATTCACTGCTGTGTGATGTCCAGAAAAACTACAGCAATCTAAAAGAATAGTTTTCAATTGAAAGTCACGACTAATGAAATGTCCAGTGACAGCTATGTACGACTCCATTTTCCGTGACGTCCACAAGTCCAGATTGCATCACAATCTGTATTAATAAGTGGCTTAATTATTTCTTTTGTGTTATTATATAGCAAAGTTAATTGGCTATTGGATAAGGTTTTCCGGGATGGTAAAGTATATCCCGGTATCCAACACATTAGTTTTTTTAAATACATGTTCTTCCACGACGCAGAAAGGATGAAAAGAGTCTATGCAGAGCTCTCACACATCGCGATCAATTAGCCCCTTTTTCTGTTTAGAAATTTTCTTTGGGACATAAGTATCCATTATATTGTGCCTTTTTTCTTCGGATTTGGGGTTTGTGTGGCACCTTCTGGTCTATTATCCCCAGAGAGTGCAGCTTTTTGTTGGTTCTCCTCTATACTGTTTGTTGCAGATGAGCTGGCAATACTTGTTGGCATCAGTTCAGTTACACTACATGCTGAGGCTGAGTGGTGGGGGGTAGAGTCTCAGACCTTTGCACTTGTGATGGTAGTGAGAGGTATAAACTTACGTACTTTCTTTTCAGATGGTTTTTCAGGTTCGCTATAGTCGATTTACAGCTGTAACTCTCTCTGCACGTAATGCAGATCGCCTTTCCCAAATTTTCCACCTTTTCGAAGTAGTCCCATATTTCACTAACTACCATTTTTTCTTTGAGACATTTTCGAAAGTACGTCACTAAATTACACAAAATAAATGTACTAATAATTGTAATAACAAAAGTACAAAACTATTAATCACAAATTTATATTCACAAAATTTCCTACAAAACTATTAAACAATTAATATATACAATAAATCACACAAAACACTTTTCGCGCGTAAACATACAGTCACTTTTTGGAAATTTGAAATTAGCTAACACCACAGAATAAATAATAGTACTACTTACACAGTAAGCGTAGACAAGCGTTACGAGTACTTGACGACAACTGAAACTGATTTAAATTTTAAAACAAAAAACGTACGTTTGAATAAGCCGACCTTCACAAAAAGTTACATAAAAGAATAAGAGAAAGATGAAAATACCGTTTTTTCTACGCTAGTAATATATAAGTCAATGGTTTTTTCTCGGTCCGTTCGTTTTTGTTCAACCGTCTACAACCAAATTTGAATTGTGTATAGATATAAATAAGATTAATTTTAGCTTTAATCGTTACGAAATCAAAAGTAGTTACTATAACTGTTTTCTATTTATACGACAATAGTTTATAAAGCAATGGTAATAGAGTATAATACTTAGATCCAACCTATGAACCTACCAAACGAACATGTAGTTTGTAAACGTTTTGCGATTGAGACAATTCCGAGAATGAAACGTAGAGCTGTATTTATTTCGTTAGTTTTTAAACATGATGTTGGATCTTCGATAAACTGTTCGTTCGTTTTTCTTTGACAAAATGTTTTTTAAAAGTGTTTCTGAATAAAACGCCCAGTACTACGGTGAAGTGTACTGAGTTGAGGAATTTAATATTTGTGTTTTTGGTGACTTGATGAAACTGCAGTATTTAATAATAATAATAATAATCCTTTATTGCAATAGACATGTTGCAATATTTCCAAAAGTCTATCGTTACCCAGCAATTTTCACCCAACATCTGTACATTGCAGTCTGTATCTGCTATCTGCCAAACTACGCACAATAGAGTTGTTACACAAGTCAACTCTGGACATAAATGATGCTATCCTCTTTCGATGGATAGCAAAAGAATCAACCCGGGTTTTCACGTACATTTCAGAGGCGCTACAATAGCGATTAAATCCCATTAGAAGTCTAAAAATATTATTATAAGTCACCCGTATACTATCATGTGTTTTCTTGGTATAGTCTACCCAGAGTTGACACGTGTAAAATGATTGGCAGAAAGATCTAAACAGTGTAATTTTCACGTCCGGCGACGCCTTGCAGAATTTTCGCGCAATCATATTGCCTACTACACACAGAGATCTACGTTGACGTTCCACATCCGTGTCATCTTTTAAGTCTGAAGTAACAATATGGCCAAGATACTTGAACTTGTCTACTATCTTAATAAATTTTCCATTAAGACGAATCTCGGGCACGCTTTGAGGTAACTTCCCTGATCTGAAAATCATTATTTCTGTCTTTTTGGAGTTGTAAGTCA